CATGCATTTTAAGTGTGATAAAGACTAGTGATAGACTACATTTTTTGTTATGAAGCTAGTGATAATTTTTTAGTGCTATGGAGATTAGTGACAACTGATAAGCTCTTATCAACATGAACAAAGTTATAGGCTATTTTCTAGTATACTGGATATTATTGTTTTCTAGTATCATGAGGATTAGTGGCAAGTTGTTTTCTTGTGTAATGAAGATTAACATAACATAATGTTTTGGGACAACATAAGACCTATTGGTCCATCTTGGCTGTTCCATCCTTTAAACTAATCTAAAACTATTAATAAATTAATTCCAATATGGTACTTCCCTCTTCTAAAAAGATTAGCTATTCTCATACCTTGCTGCCCCCTATATGCAAACTTTTTATTTATGCATGCCACAAGCCTTCTGCTCCCTCCTATTGGAATCAAGTGATTCCAACGTGTCTCTCATGTAAATCATCATGTGTCACCTCTCCACCAGTACGAGCATAGTACACTCACGTGACGCATGTGACTCTCTCTATGCTCCTCTACCAAACTATTCCTTCTCGTTTGGCAGTGCTTATACTCAGATGTTTTTTGTTATTCTTTGCTGTTTCACGTTCTTATTTAGTATACTCACGGAGTGGTCTTAATTTATTATAACTTCCACATTTTCTGAAGTTTGAAATTTGCCTTTATTTATCCCAACTTATTCCATTTCCATTCCGAAGCTAATGTTACCACTTCGAGGGTCATGCTATTTCACAGTCTGCAGGTGTGGGCGACCCAGGTGTGTATGTTTTTATCAGTGTTTATCCTCCGGGCAATTGAACGTTAAAAAGGTTGGCCTCTTTCTTCGTTTCTCACCTACAATTCCTCCTGCAGAAGTAGACCCTGTTTGGGCAAGCGTAGATCTTGATAGCCTTTTTCTATCACCAGATTTCAAGTGTTTAGTTCTTTATTTCCATTATGTAGTCTCCATTCACAATACAGAGTTTCTGTGTTCTTTTTGCATGTTTATAATGGTTTTCATTCACATTACTCCATGGACAGTTTCTGCCTTATTTTGTGAGGAATTTTATCGTCTAATTTCCAGACTTTTGTCAGACCTTGCCTTATGCTTCGTGGTCCACTATTTCCCATACGGTCTGCCAACTTTGGAAAGATAAAATGTTTTAAAATTTTATTGTTAATATTATTATCTGTAATTATTTGAATTCCATAACATATGCTTATTTAGATTAGTTAATACTAAGTTATGTGACAATTTGTAATTAGTCTTCATTGCTTTTCTTAAATACCATTCGATTAGGCTTAACATGGTATGTCCTTCATTAGTTTAACTATGTTATTTCTTTACTTTTATATCATAATTTCTATTTCATTTCATAAATAATCTTTTTGGAACCCTTGAATGGGAGCACACACAGACTTCTCCCAGTATTGTGCCTATTTATTGTTCAGTTACCTTTTTCTTTTCATTCTTATGTTATCTTTTGTTCTATACTGTTCGATTAGGCATAACTAGTTTTCATTCTTTTTGAATTCACTGTAGTTCTACTTTGTTATTTTTGTTCAATACCTTGTTTTATTCGTCTTCCGTTCTCACCAATTGTATTCAGCTTTTGATCCCATTGTCTTATTCCACTTTATCATCTTCTTCCCAGACCAGATATCCTTCAATTGAAATCTGCACTGTACAGCCATGTTGAACTGCACTCTCTTCCATGGCTTTGCAATGCTCACTGGTGAAATGGGTTGTTCCACAAGATCATTTGAATGTGAATAACCTTGAGATGTTTTGGCTTCATAAACTGTACCATCCATGGACTGCATGGGTAAAGCAGAAGGGAATAGCTGCCCATCCCTGCCATGTCTTGATTGAATGAATAGGGATGTTCTGCTTTTCAAAACAGGGTCTTGTGGTCACCCATTGTACTATCTCAGGTGGTAACGTTCCTCCAGACTCTCTAACATGTATTCACCCTCCTTTCTTCTAGTTGAGTGTGGGAATTCTTACCACTTTCCAGTTCCAAGCCGCTGGGGTGGTTGACTGTGGAGGCACCCTCCTGAATGGGTTCCACTAAATGATGGCTATAACCATTCAATTGAGAGTATGGCAGTGGTGTTCTGCTGATGTAGATGAGACGTGGCCTCCAGAGGAGTTGAGCCATCACCTTGCTGGATGATGTGGCCTCCTGATACCATTTACACAACCACTGGAGTTGAGCCATCGAAAATGCAGTTCACCCCTTCAATTGGGAGCCCTCATCCTACCACTGCATGGATTTCAGTACCCCATGGCCTGTATTAGTTTTAGAGTGAACCAATCAACATAAGGTTTTGGGTTGTGTATCTTCCTCCCTCAATTATCTCTGTCTGTGTTGTGGGTCACAGTGTTGGTATGTGGGATTGTTCTGGTTCTATCCTTGGCTATCTCTCATTCTCTCTTCTTACAGGGATGTTATTGCCATTTGGAGGCTCCTAGCCTGTTTCATGGTTGGGGGAGTTGATTGTATGCTATAGATATCCTTTTGATACTGAATGTCGGGTTCCCAGATTGATAGCTCAGAGCTAATTCTTGTGTCATACCCGAGAATCGGAGTGGTTCTCAATTCCCCAGTTCTTGGGTTTGTGGTGAAGATGGTATGGAGGAGGTTTTGGATGTAGTTAATTTACCGAGTATGGTCCGCCACACCCTAGCCACTCTACACCCAAGGGTACATCTTTATTTACCCACTTTTCTTATTGTAGGATTGAGTTAAAATATCTTTCTCTGGTTAGGATCACTTTCCTACCACATTCTCTCCCACATGGATGTGCCCTTCTCATTTTCCATCCTAATATTTTACACATTCCACACATGGGCGAAGAATATCTGATCTGACTCTCTGATCTACGGAGGTATCCTTCAGACGCTAGGTCGGGGGGGGGGGGGGT